TTGAGCCAGGCACTATGAAAAGTGTTTTGCAACAAGCATTGTATCATCTGATCCTGACAGGAGCCATCTGGGTAGGTAAGATTACTATTCCAGTGGGCTAGGGAATTTGCCTGAGGGAATGGAGCTAAACCCAGGCTACTGACCCCACAGCCTGGACTCTCAATCACCACACCAGTGCTTTCCTCTGCAAAAGTAATACATGAATCCAGCAGTAAGTAATTTTCTCTCTCTCTCTTTTCCTTTTCTTTTTTTCTTTATTTTATTTCTTTATTTTTTTTTGGTGAGAATGCTGCAAGAGAACATAAAATACAAATAAATTAATCAGATTAACTTGCCAGAATGATACCAGTTAAATCCCAGAGACTCCAAAGGCCACACAGCAGGTATCCAAGAAGGAAGAGATACTCTCTCAGAACCAGGCAAAGCCTGGAGGGCCTGGGGGGCTGCCCTGGAGGTTATTTAGCCTCTCGGGGCTGCTGGGGCTGCCCTCACTGCTCTTTGCATCATTAATTTGCTGCGAAGAGATCCTGTGAGATTCTCCCATTGGAGAGCAACCTCTTGCTCCTGTCCTTCAGGCTCTCCCTTTCCCTGGGCTGCAAAATAAAAATAATTTCTTATCCCCAAACAACCACTGAAACTATTATGCCCTTTAGGCATCTTTAAAAAGTAGTCCCATACACTGTATATTTTTTACCACCCATTTCTCAACATTCTACCACCCAGTAATTACCATATTTCATATTTTAAAATTTTGAAATTAGGAATAAATCTTATATGCAATGACATCTTTACAATTCTAATTAACAATACTGTTTTGTTTTCAAATAGTTTATAAATTAATGATGCATCTTTGAAATTATGGCATCTTCAATTCAATGATCTGTGGTATGTGTCAGACTCTGTGGAAAGATTCTAGACAAGAAATTCCTCAAGGGCAGGAAAGAGAAACGTACCTCATACCCTCACCTCCCTACTGCCAGTGCTTAGCCCAGTTGTGCTATGTGTCCTAGTCGTGCTATGTGCACTCACACTGTTCATCTGAGATGACGAAACATCTACTGGATGGAAGCCACGTGTAAACCTCACACTGAGAACTTTGAGGAAGAAACAGAACCATAAAACAAAGTCCACTCAGTCAAGAAGATATAGCCAGTGATCTTTCCTGTCATCAAAAATGTAACTGAATTCCCAAACTCCTGAACCATAAGTACTTACAAATTTTTTGTTTGTAAAACTATCTGATCAACAATGTCAGTTAGTCACATGGATAAGAAATCATCCACAATGCCCACAGGAGTTTTGTCATCAATGTCATGCAGTTAAAGACTGTTTCTGGTGTTCGAAACATGTCACCTTACAGCTTTAGGAAACACACTATTTGTTGGTATAGCAAACCCATACTGAGAAAATATTTCGACCTGCCTTATAGTAGCTATGGATTACTTGGTTTGGAATTTTGTTTTTAGCTACTCGGGCAAAGTAGGTACCTTATAAAGAAGAGTAGGTGCTGTTTTCATATGTGACTTAGAACATGGTGGGAACGGGGCCGCATGAGAGCGACCGTTAGCAGTGGGGCATCACCAGCCATTAGTGATTCTTGTCCATTCTCACTGGTCAGTGTCCCTGCCAAACTGATGGATAATAGTTTTAATATCTCCCCCAAACGCCTAATCATGATCTCAAATTAATTCTTTTCCAATCATTACTTCATCAAAGTGACATCGTGTCAAGAAAGGAACAGGAATTTTATTCAAAACCTTTCCCGGGGATGTCCTGGAGTCCCTGTAATTCCTGGCCAATCTCTGCATGTCAGCTGTGCTTCCATACTTATATATTGCTGCACGCTGAGGAGAGACAGTCAGAAAGGGGACCAGAAGTAAACTCATCAGTCATCAAAGAAATAACCTACTCACTGCTCCCACATACCGACAAGAAGGCAGAGAGAATTAAACACATTTGTGACAGGGATAATCATTACCTCCAAATTCAGTTAAGCATCATATTTCCATGCATCGTAGTTTAGTAAGATTTTTCTGTACGAGCCAAGGGCTGCAGTTTATTACGAATTTAAACCTGCCCTTACAAACCTTACGGGAATCTGAAATGTGATGGCCAGAGATTTCTGGCCAACTCACCATTATTACTTCTTGAACTCGGGACATTTCCTATGCCGCTCCAAGCTGATTTGTATTCTGTACCGGTTACAGGAATAAATCTGCCAGGAAGTTTTGAAATGTGAGGACAGATAGGCCCCTTTCTTGGTTAAGTCATAGCTTCAGACCTACAGATTTGCCCAGCCAGGCCCTTCAAATATTTTGCAATGAGCATTTTGAAACACATGGGTTATTTGGTTTTGGCTTCCAGGCAGTTCGGTGAAATGCTTAGGCTAGAGAATTGCAAAAGTTCATGATTTGTCACCGAGGAATGAAATGTGATGCAGTAAAGCAAAGTGTGGACATTTAATACCAGATGTTGATGTAAAAAATTGGAAAATTGTGGCCTCACGTCATTATCTGACTCCTGACCCGCAGAAGCCCATCACAGTCCAGAAAGCATCTTAATTTCTGGCTTCTGTCACTATTAAACTATGTCTAATATTTTAAAATTTAAAAATAATAATTCTGAGTGATTCAGCTGAGATAATTAGGTCAGAGTAATTTTGAGGCTTTTTGCACACACACTAACAGAGTAATGCAACACCTTACCATAAAAATCAGAAGTGGAGCTTTTCTGTTTTTCTGTATTTTCTAAAAATTTTAAAAAGTAATTTGAGATGTTTATTTCTACACCTATCTAACTTCATCAAATACATAGAGGAAGAAGAGAGGAAACCTTGCTTATTTGCATTGAGAGGGAAAGACAGCACCTGAAACACACATTTCAAAACCCTTTGGCATTCGTCTACACTTCCTTGAATCTGTGCGTTTGAAAAATGGAAGGACTGTTTTAGAAGAAGATGGACTGTTGAGAAATCTCATGCCTGTGAGGACAGACGACTTGGTGTGAAATGAGTTGTAGGTAAGAAGCTACAGGTTAGGTGTCAGATCAAGTGAGCCTTTTTACTTTCTGGTAGAATTGGGCAAACCAACCTCTCTGTGCCTGTATCTCCTCCTCCTAAAAATGGGTTTAACATGAATTCCTGACCCCTGCACAGGATTGTTGCAAGAGTCAAAGAATACAGTTTACGTAAATACAACCTACGTGTCCTTTGATGGATGATTGGATAATGAAGATGTGGTACATACATACAAAGAATAGGACTCAGCTACAATAAAGGATGAAATACTGCCATTTGCAACAATATGGATGAATCTGGAGAGTATCAGCAAAGCAAAATGAGTCAGACAGAAAAACACAAGAATGCTATGATTTCACTCATATGTGGGATATAAAATAGAAAGCAACAAACAAACAAAAACGATCTCATAGACACTGACAACACTGTGCTGGTTACCAGAGGGCTGGGGGAGTGAGGAGAGGATGAAGAGAGTAAAAGGAGCCAAACATATGATGATGGAAGGAAACTAAACTATGGGTAGTGAGACACAGAATGCAATATGGACTATAGATTTGTACATGCCACTTACATGATGTTATTAACCAATGTCACCCCAATGAATTCAGTTTAAAATTCTCCTCTAAGCCCAGGGACAAGGTAGAAAGGATTTTAAAATGGCCCTCTTCTCGCCAGGCAGAAGTGTCTTACCTTCGTTTCTGTATACTTCTGATAGTTAAAGCAGCAAGGAGGAAATGAGAATGTGGATATAAGATCTTAGTGAAGCCCTGGTTCAGTGGATTGAGTGCCGACCTGCGAACTAAAAGGTCACCAGTTCGATTCCCAGTCAGAGCACATGCCTGAGTTGTGGGCCAGATCCCCCGTTTGGGAATATGCGAGAGGCAACCAGTCAATATATCTCTCGCACATTGCTGTTTCTTTCCCTCTCTTTCCCCCTCCCTTACTTTCTCTCTTTCTAAAAGTAAAAAAAAAATAGATCTTTAAGGTTTTATCACCTCTGTGGTAAGCCAAGAGACAGAAGCACACCAAGGACTGTTTTAGACAAGTACAAGAGTCAAGCCCTTCCCTCAAGAGAGAATCTAGCTTAACGTTTCTCAATTTCAATATCTCTCTCTGTCTCTCTGTCTCTCTATCTCTCTCCAGTTAAGACCAATTACGATGTGCAACTCTGGTAAGAATAGTTCACAGAATGGGTCTTTGAGCCCACACTGGCTGTTTCTACACTGATGGACTGGGACACTAACACCTGGGGAAGTCAGTAACATGCCCCCCCCACCCCGACAGCTCAGCAACATCTCTGTGATGAGAACCCAGAACTCCTGGAACCCTTTCTAATAAAGTGTTCTTGATCTCACACCTCCTGTGAAGGAGGTTTTTTATTCACTTCTCAAATACTATCAAAACTTTTTCCTTCAAGGAACTAAATTTATTTTTCAGAGAGTCATGTCCCCTTAAGAGATATATAACTGGAAAATATTATCTCCCTTGCTCCTATCTTCTCCCCACTGCTTTCTTCTTCTCTTGTTTTATCTCTCTTGCTTTCTTCATCCCTCTCTCTTTCTTTCCTTTATAGTCAGGTGTACCTGGAGGCAGATGAGAGAGGCAAAGATAGCAGATCTAAGTTATAGGAATGCAATTTGCAATTGCCTATAAATGCTCAAAACTTGAACAAAGATTTTAAAACCTCAAGGTTACCAACATCAGTTCTGAATCCAGAAAAATTATTTTCTTTTCCAAATAAGCTGATAATGTTTATGTAAAATTAAAATTTTATCATTCCCCAGTGCACTGCCATCACCAGCCGCCACTCAGATTCCTTCTGTTCAGGTTCAAAATCATCCCTGGCACTTGTAATCAAATTATCTTGCAGTGGGTGTGTGAGCTTATTTGAATCTCAGGGGGCCAAAGTAAGTTGATAATATGTTTCTCTCACAATCATCCATATTATCTGTTTATAAACAGCTTTATTTAATTTGGACAGAATTTGCAAACTTGGAACATTCCTAATTTTTCCCATCCTTTACACATAGGTCCAATCAGCCATTTTACTCTTGGTTCTGACCCTAAGAATGATGTACATTTTCCTCGGGCATATAAAGGAGAGAGAGAAAAAAAAGGAAAAGTTCACCAATGTAACAAAAACTCTTTCCAGTGAGTTCCCAATAAAGAAGTGGCAAAACATCAAATTCCAATAATGCCAAACTATTTACTGAAAGTTTTTGAAGCTTTCAAAAATGTTACAAAAAGCAAGCAAACACAGTGAAACTAATGAAATAGTAGACATTGAAAACTAGTATCTTGGTAAATCTACACAGGCATGTGGGGGAGAAGGGAACATATGATTAGGCTCTTTGACATGTATCGAATTTCATCCCATTCAAGGAAAATTATTCAGAACTTTGAAATTAAGGTCAAAACAAACAACAACAACAACAACAAAAATCCAGGATTGTGTGATATATTCATATTATGCTAGCCTATTATTCATCAAGCCCACCCAAGGACCATCTAACTCTCTTGGGAAATGTAACTTTGGCTAATGATTCAATAGGGACCAGATTATGGGCCGTGCAAAGTTGGGGGTTGACTTGTAGAAAATCAGTCTCCTTTCTGGCAGAGAAATCCACCACCAAGGTTATAGTTTTATTTCTCTGTAGGACATGAACACGTTTTATATCTTACTTTGCAATCTCATTTCATTAAGGCCTTTCCCATTGATTAAATTCTTGTTCCTCAGATTCTGTTCTCCACTTTCTGATGATGAGTTTAATGAAACTAAACTCATCATCTATTCATATGAGAATTATGTTTTTCATGATCAGAGAACTTGTGCTTTGACAATCCTCAAACAACCACGTGAGGTAGGTAGTATATCTTCCCTTTACAGAGGAAGAAACTGAGTCTCAGAGGAGGCACTTTACTTGCCCAACATTAGAGGTAAGAAGCTATAGAGCTGGACTTTGAACACAGATCTGCCTGAATTCTTTCATGGAAACTACACTGGTGATTCACATTTGGACTGGAATATCTCCCAAAACAATCAGCCTTACCTACATATATGTATATGTTGGAATTATAAACATTATAGCTGAGAACCAAAAGCAACTCACACTGAATGACCCAGCCTGGGTATTTAAATAGTAATTGAAGAGAATATTTACTAATATGTTTGGTTTCAAATTAGAACTTTTAAAAATAAGAAATGTTGAAAAAATTTGCCCATACACTATATAGAATACTATCAGTAAAGTGTGAAATTTCACTGCTATGCTGGTTCTGTTAACGGTTCTGGATGACACTGGGCAAATTACTACTGAGATTGTTATAAAAGTCATTGAAAAGTATGTAGAACACTTTCTAGAGAGCCTCTCTTTGACAGTTCATGAACACATCTAGGAGAGCTTTCTGAATGAATTTGACCAAATTACCAGCTTATCCCACTGTAAAGATGCTCAGTCTATACTGTGTTCCTGAAGGTGATTTTTGTCCTGGCTGGATACACAGGTAGATGACAAGACTGGAGAGGGACATGCTTCCCTTAGTCTGAAAGCACCTAATCTTAAAAGTGTATCTTGGGAAAGATTGGTCTTACATATACATGTTTATCTGTAAACAAGCATGATTTTCAGCTGGGGTATATATCTTTTGAATGCATTCTTTTATCCATCTGAAGATCCATTCAATGTATATGCAGATTTATAAGTTTTTCTTCATAGGTAAGATTCTAAAGTTTGGGTCATTTGGTATCTAGGTTGATAAAAACCTGTGCTTGTGTTGTGAGGGTTTTGTCTGCCAAATCACGCATTAGATGGTGACCATCTGGCTTTGTCTCCAGTAGAGTACACCTCTATTTGACGGGCACCAGGCGGCTGTCTGCCACAGATTTAAGCTAAGTGAGGCAATCTGCCCCACTCCTAGCCCTGATCCCAAACTTCGGAGCCAGCTGAATTTCAGCTTCAGCTGAAGTGAAAAGATAACTATGTGGTTCAAATTCATCTTGACTCACAGTTTTACTGTTTTAGTGTGGTTAAAGCTGCTCACTGTGTCTGTGGTTTTCTTACATAAATTTTCAATCCAGCTAGTGCTATTAGACAGCGTCTTTTCCAGCCCTGATGCTGGGGGTAGATTTTTAGCTCGCATATTTTTTCCAGATGTGATAAGCTCTCCATAGCCCTCTTGGTGGGCAAAAGCATATCCAGATCTTCTTGAGCTTGATCTACGAGTCTGAGGTCTTTGGCTTCGTTGAGGCCTTGCCTTCCTTTGAGCTTTCTGCCACTGGCGGATCTGGAGAGGAAGGAGACCCAGAGTGAGATGATGCGTCTAAATGATAGACTCCAGGCAGCGGGCCACTTTGTGAAGTGAAAGCCTTCTTCGTAAAAAAAACATCAACACTAACAAAACACCTGCCTTCATTGAAAAAGAGAGCTTTTCACCTAAAAACTAAGAATTTTTCTACCTAAAAGATTATGCTGGACACTGGTTAGTTTTTATTTCTACCAGGAGACTACTAAGCAAGAAGTACTAATGCGAACTTCATCATCGTCTCCATCTCATACATCTGTCTTAAATGAATTGGAACATGTTTTTATACAGACAGATTTTCTAGGATGCACCACCCAAACACAGTCAGTATAACAATGCATAGTCCCGTTGCCCCTAAAATGGGCCTTCCCCCTCTCTTTTGGAGATTCTCAGGATCCAATAGTCATTAGGAACTAGACAAGAACAGAACTTATAAAATGAGAATCAGAAATTTCCAACTCTTGTGGTAGGTCTATGTACTATGATATTTTCAGGGTTTCAATTTCTTCGCGGGGTTTTTTTTGATAACCTTTTGAAGAGGTCAACACCATTTGAGTGGGTTTCCAACATTTCTTTTATTCCCCAGTAAAGTTAAGGGGAAAATATCCAAGGTTTGGAGCAAGGTCTGGAAGCCACCTTGTTCTCTCAGTCAGCTGATTGCTTGGACTATGGCTTTTGTGTCAGGAGAAAACTGTTAAACAGAAAGTCATGATCTGACTAAATATAGGAAGAAACAATCATCATCTTCCTTCCTTCAGTTCATTCATCATTTTCTGGTTTACGTAAGAACGAGCTTACAGAGCCAAAGGGAAAGGACAGACATAACAGGGGACTCCGGGAATCATTTCAGAAGGAGTATTTTTGTGTTTTGGCCCCAGAATGTGAGGGATAACATGACAAGGAAAGTTCTACCTCAGTTCCTCTCAGCATTATTGGACTGGCCACACACCCATCAGTGTTTTCACCCTTCTCTTGATGTGGCTACAGTGGGCCTCCCCTTCCTTTCTCCTTTCCTCTTTGCATCCGGGTCCAGACCTAAGTTGCCATTCTTCTGCTTATACTCCTCTTCCCAAGAAATACTGAAATATGTTCTACTAACCCCTTGGTTTAGATATTTTTATAATTTGTTCTATTTTCCTTCTAACTGTATATTTTTCCAATCCATCCATCATGCTGCTGTTCCCTCTCTTAATCTGTTCAGCAGGTAACATTTCTCCTGTTTCTGAACCTGCCACTCTGTTTCTACAATGTTGGAGCCCCTTTGCCACCTATCCTGGTTGTCTCTCTTGTACTGTACCCTTTATTTGCCCCCAAGTCAATACTTTGCCCTCTAGTTTGCCTTTCCCTTGGAACAATTGTCCAAAGTGCTGCCAGAGAGCTCCTCTTTTAAAAGTCAACTTTTTAAAATCCCGACTTGTAATTTATGACTCTCCATCCATATTTAGTCTGGACATTTATTTTTATCGGCACTCGCAAGGCTAGTACATTCAGATGTAGGCAGTTCTATCTACTGTGATGTGATGTTCTGCACCTGTGGGTGTCTGCCTTTGGGAAGTTTATTGGCCCTTTCCTGGGCTCCCAATCAGACAAAGAGAACATGATTCCAAGAGCCAAGAATAAGCCCTTCAAAGACTCCTCAGCACTACAACATACCTGATCACTCAGGGTTGGGAATAAATCCACCTTCAAAAATCTGAATGCCAGCACAGGAATGACTGAAGCCACTGTCGTTAGGAGAATAACAAGCCAGATACACTTCTGGGTCAAGGAATGGCACGCATTTCCTATCATTAAGGAAAAATATACATTGTGGTTATAAATAGAATTGAATTATTGAATTAATAGGCTAGTTGTCTGTTCACGTTAAGACCTTTTTTGAAATGGTGAGGTTTGGACTACGTAGAGAGAACCCCTAGGGTCTTTTCCACTACGTAGCATGTTCAGTGGTGGTGAGGAGAAGGCAAGGCTCTTGGGAGCCATGCTGTGGCCTGGTCGCTTGGAGAGGGCCTGCTGGAGCCAAGCCTTCTCTTATCCTGGTGCAGTCTAGCATCACTCAAGAAGCACACTTCTTTCATCCAGTTTCTGGGTCCCTTGACTAAAAGGCATATTTACCCTGGCAGTTGAGGCTTAAATGCCCTCTTCCGCTAAGGAGAAAGGGGAGTATGGTTGGAGGGTAGTAGTGGTTTGGACTTCAGGGAGAAAGAAGGCAATTCACAAGAAGATGGAGATGTAGGAGGAGGGATCCCCCCGCAAAATAGAATTATCTTCTAGGGGGCAGGCCCTTTGTAGTATAGGCTTCCCTGGCTAGGTGAGTGGTATAGGTGCCCATCTGCATCAATGTTCCAGCTGGCATTGTTGTGAGAGGCTCCCTTGGCTTCAGTGAATTTTTTGGAGACTCTTTTAATGCATTTGCCCATTTCATGACAGGTGATTTAGTAGTGCACCTGCCCATAACCCACTGAGTGTTCAGCAGTTTTTGACCAAAAGCAGCATGACCCCCATGTCCCACACTCCCTGTTCAGCCGATCTCTCCCCTCTCCCCAAGCAACATTTCTTTTGTTTTTCTGGATGAAAAAAGTCCTCAAAGGGAAATGTTCTGCCAATGTGTAAGAGATAAAACAAAATGCAGCAAAAGCACTCAAAGGCATCAAAATTGATGAGTTCAAAAACTGTTTTGAGTAGTGGAAAAGAAGTCTCGGTAGGTGTATTGCATGAAATGGAGAGTGCTTTCAAGGTGACTGAAGTTTAAATGTAAGAATAAATACACAATTTTTTTTAAATAAATTCCTTTGGGGGGGGTCTCTCCTCATAAATGTCTGGTAAATAAATGTTCGCTGGACCATCTTTAACAATGGACGGAGGGAGGACTTTGATCAAATGGGCCTTGCTAGGTTCCTCCCTGTCTATCACTCCTCGTTCATACTAAACTATAGTTATCTGTGATGGTAGCTCCCCTCCTGGAGCAGTCTTCTCTCTAAATTTTTAGGCAGTTAGGGGGAATGTCAAAAGTTCTTCCTGAGTTTTTTGTTTTTATAAATAACCAGCTTAAAATAATTGAATCCCAAAAAAGGCATATATTGGGGTGGCAAACTTTGCTCCCCCTCGTTATCATGTCAAAACTATACAATGTATGTCCTGGACACAGGTAGTCTTAAATGCTACAGTTACAGTCTTGGTGACTGGGTGTGTTCCAAAGGGTAAGCTTTATTTACTACAGGGCTAAACGTTTAAATTCAGGCCACAACCCCAGAAAAACCTACATCAAAGGGACTAGCCGATTTCTCTGCTGCTCACTGGGTTATGAGACACTGAAAATGCCCAGGAGAGCAGGGATGCTTCTTGTTTCTGAAAAGAGTGTTCCCCTCACTGGGAAACCCTGGGCGCAGCCACCAAACACACTGGTGCAAAAGAACAGTGAAACTCATTTCCAAGCCTGGAGCCAGTTTCTTTACTTTGTACTCACACCTCAAATACTGAGACACTTGTTTAAACAAAGCAACAAGGGTCAGTAAGGCAGGGAGAGAAGTTCTACAGAAGATGGAAGCCCTGCTTATATCATCAAAATGAACTTTTGTTCCTATTGCTTTTCTAGGGATTTACTAAACATCCAATTATCCAGGACACCTCTCCCAATGCTAAGAAGTATTAACACCCTAAATGGGCTTTGGGTGCCTGAATTTTCTGGCTTTCAGGGGCATCCAACCTGCTACCCAGGATGGCTATGAATGCGGCCCAATGCAAAATTGTGAATTTACTTAAAACCTTACTTTTGCTCATCAGTTTTCATTAGCGTTTCTGTATTTAATGTGTGGCCCAACACAGCTCTTCTGGCAGTGTGGCCCAGAGATGTGAAAAAGTTGAACACCCCTGCTGGAGAAGAGAATCTGCCTACCAGAGAGCAGTTGGTTCCATTTCCCTGGGCAGAAACAAACTTGACTCAACAAATTAAATGTCTCTTTGAGCTCCTTGAAGCTCAGTGCCCTCAGGCATGGCTGGAAAAATACCAGCTTCACTTTAAAACCACACTCCTGTTTGCTGCTGGCTACTAAGGAAAAAAATTTTTGTTAAACCTCAATGTTGATCTAACTTTTGAAAAGACTCATTGGAGCTCAGTAATTAATTCCTGGAATTAATTAGCTGGAGAGAGTGGTCCCCACACAAACTACTTTCTCCAGTTGAGGCATTCCAGTCTCGTTATGCATTCTAAAATGCTTTGTGAGGACTGGAAATCTTCTAGTCAATGCACTGAACTTTCAGATTTGGCAACAAAAGAAAAAAAGAAACAAAAAAACCCCAAAAGTTTTAACATCTCTCTCTTTCCTAATACGCTTATTTTTATTCATAACCATCATACTTTTTCTACATGACTGGAATCTTTTGATAAACAAAGTATTAATATTATATATTAAGTAAGAGTGCTGCAATTTAAATTTTCCATGTGCGTGCAGGGCAAGGCAAAAACTGAAGAATAACATCCTTGAATGTATGTGCAAATTTGAATGAAATTACCATTTCAGGAGCCTTTGCATCACTGGGGATGTATAACACTCTAATTGCTCTTATTTTGCTTTCTACATGAACCAGTCTTCTAAGAATTCTTTTATAGACTGGATTCCCCAACCAGTAGATGCAAATCTCAGTCTTGCCTGATTGAGCTCACAAAAGTTGTCATCTGTGTTTCTCTCCTTTCCACAGTTTGCTGGGATGAACTCAAAAACATCATTATTACCAACTTCTCTCACACACCCTAGAGATTTCAAAACTTCTGAGAAAGTATATTAGTAGCCCCACTGTCTAAAGTTCAGTAGCCCTTGCTAGGAATCACTTTGAAATGTGGAGAGCAATGTTAGTATACTCAATGGATGGGCCAGATGTACGGTTTCGTAGAATCACAGAATCTCAAGATTGTAAAGGACTTCAGGAGGTGCTTCATGACCTACAGTATTTACTGCTCAAATTGCTCTGCAGTGTCCTCAAGACACATTTGCTTGGATCATCATCCTTATCATCACCACCACTACCATGGGTAACATTTTTTAATGTCAGAATGATAGAATGTCACATGCTAAGCATTTATATGCATTATTTCATTTAACCCTCACAAATTTCCTATGAAACTAGAAAATATTAATATTCCCAGTTTAGAAATAAAGACATTAAGGCATGAAAAGGAAAAAACTCGCCCTCCATCACACAGCTAACAAGCAGTGAAGCTGACACCAAAACCTGGCCATCTAACTACAGAGCCTACTCTTCATGCCACTCTGGACTAGTGTCCCAGAAGTTTTAGAAGGCTCTAAATTATACATCATTTCTTTCTTATTGTAACACAAGTAAGTTTCACCAGTAATCTTTGGCAGAGATGTTGGTGATAATGTGGCATGAAAGACACATTTTCTTTCTCTTTCTCCTTCCTCTATCATACATGAACTTCTCCCAGGTCTTGGTGAGCCCTGATACATGTGCTATGCCTCTTGTTTTCAAAAAGGCAGTTAACTTCACCTGCGCTGTTGGAGTAGCTATCTCAATGATTCTTCTGCATCTGGTAAAGACAGCAGAAACTAATCTTTTAGAGTTCTTTTCAAGCTTGGAAGCCTTCGGATGCCTCTGATGCAATCAGTTCCTAGACAAACAATTAGTGGTCACCCCTAGTCCCACCTAACACAGAAAATAAATGACAAAGACAAATAAATGACAGCATGATGCTAGGCCCCAGTAGATAATAGGATTCACTTACCAACAAATGGAAACTGCTTTGGGAAGACGTCAAACATGCCATTACTGTGCATTGCAAATAAAATAGAGAAGTACGTGGCAATGCTGCCCCATATGAAGACGTGGTTAATGACAGTCCAGTAACTGGTATCCAAGGCTATCTGTAAATAAAGCAGGTACAAGGGGGAAATCTCTGAGGATTAAAAAGAGCATCTTTTTACTGAGTGATATTTCCCCAGAACTGCTCTGTGAAAAAAGTTATACCTGTCTAGCTCCCAACCAACCAGAGGCACCTCCACTTTGTGCACAACTCAGGGGACTGACTTGACACTTCTGCTCGACAACTGATTTTAGAACTTCTTTCTGCAAGCCATTGTATCTGCCAAGGCTCAATCAGAATCAGGTAATAAAATGTTAAACTTCCTTTAAGAGAGAAATAAGAAAGCAGAATGGGTTCTAATTTCAATGTTAACTTATAAATTGCTTTTAAAAATGTTTTTGATGGAAAAAATATTTTCTGTAGTAACCAACTGCAACATTTTATAATCTGTACATAAATTTTCACATGACCATTTTCTTACACGGGCATCATCTGTTTCACATCAATATTCTATCTCATTTTGATGACCCTTTCTCTTAAATTACTCAAATAGTAACAAAGAAAAATCCTTAATCTTCTTCTGACATAAATGTCGGAAGCTGGTTCATAGTGCCCTGGGAGCATGTTCACAACCCCTCTCCCTTCCAGTTACTTGGTGTGGCAGTAAAGCTGTAAAAGAGTGACCTGCTATCACAAAGTCATGGAAGCCCCTGGTGAAGAAGAGCCATTGTGTTCTCAGAGAGAAACAAGTAGGTTCTGACATCATTATTTGCATCTCAGAGGTCCAAAGTGACCCAAGGGAAGGTTTGCTCCTTGCCAGCCGAGTGTGGTGCAAGACCACAGATGCCTCACCTGCCGGAGAGGACCCTACTTACTTAGTAAATAGATCCTTCTCTGCATTGGAGATATATTCCCACTTCCCACTTTAAGTTTGCTGTCCTTCGAAACACTGCCCCAGTAATAGAATGCTGGGAAGCCTTGGATATAAACTGCAGAGATTATAAAGGGACAGCATTTTCTTTTTTCAAGAGGCCTGAGAAGAGAAAATCCTGTCTCCCATGCCTCAGCAAAGAGATGCCAGTTTTCCAGCTTATTTGGCTACCAAGACATGAGACAAAATCTCCAAATCTACCTTCTACCACCTTTCAGTTCATCACTATCCAGGGACACCAATGGCCTGGGCTGTGTGAGTGTGAGTAAGCATAAAAAATCACAACAAATTTAAGCCTCAGGAAAAAGAAGAAGAACAAACCAAGAACAAGTGGCTCCTATTGAGGCAGAACTAATGGAAAAAGCAGACAAGTACTATAACAACAATAACAAAAAATGTAATGAGAATTTTTAAGAGGATGCAATTAGATCACAGAAAAAAACCTGGATAAAAAAAGCATTATTGCTGAATTTAAAAATTCAATAGAGAAACAAAGTAAGAATAGTCACTGATGAGAACTGAATTAATATTCTGGAAAAACAAGTGGAAATAATATCTCACAGCAGAGACCAAAAACTTGAAGAAACAGAAACCATGTGCAAAAAGATATGAGACAGAGATGGCAAATCCATAGATGTCAGATCTGTGGGTCCAATACACAAAATAAGCAAAATTTTAGAAAAATAAATAAATAGAAGGGAAATGATCAAAGAAATAATAGAAGAAAACTGCTCTGGTATAATAAGCAGCAAAGATTTTCAGATGTGGGGGAGCAATGTAAATCTAAGGCAAGTTAAGGAAAGAAGTTATATTCTGGTGTCATTTGGGAAGTCAAAGGATGAAGAACACACACTTCTAGACAGAGAAGACATTACTTACAAAGGAAAGAGAATCAACATAATATCAAATGGTTGAAACTGGGATATAGAACAACTTTCACAAGGTTCCTAATGAAAAAGGCTCTGATTCAAGAATCTTATGCCCATTCAATATAGCATTTAAATGTAAAGACAAAGAAAGAATACTCAAAAATGTAAAATCTATCTGCCATTTCTGAAGAAATTGTTCAAGGAAATTGCTGTAACCAAAAAAGATTAATTAATTAGAAACAAAGGTCTCAAAAACGGTGGAAGACACAGAGCTTCAAAGTGGTGGTAAGCAACAATTCTTGTAAATTTAGAGTTGGCTCTAAATGAGTAACTATGTGAATATGAACCATAGTATTAATTTAGAAAAAATTTGCAACATTCAAAACATATGTTGGAGGAGCATTTAACAGCATCCTGATACTAGAATTCTAAATTATAAATGTTCAAGAATTGGGGAGAAGATGGAACAAGGGAGGGAGAAGTGCAGTAAAAACATTTCCAAAATTGTTTACTCTGGAGGTGGGTGAGGGAAGGTATAGAATAGGATAGTAAAACACTTGATGGAGGATACAGTTGCTTAGTTTTGGTGTGTTAGTGTGGAAATGAAGATTTAACTGGTTATGAAAATAAGGAGAAATCATAGTAGAATGGAAATTCAATAGTAAAAGTTAAAAGTTGTTCATATGTAGCATATTTAAAAAGTCATAGTGTACTAGTACATGTGTGGCACCATTGCTTCCATAAAGGAAGGAAGGAAGGAAGGAAGGAAGGAAGGAAGGAAGGAAGGAAGGAAGGAAGGAAGGAAGGAAGGAAGGAAGAAAGGAAGGAAGGAAGGTCCTGAATGTCTATCATTAGAGGATGGGTGAATAAATTATTTTGTGTCCATATTATAATATTCTGCACAGCTTTTCAAAAGGTTACAATAGCTAAATATGTTGGTTTGGAAAGCTGTCCAGCATATCTCATTAAGTGAGAAAAGCGTATCACAGAAATTATGAGAATTTCCCTTGAATACATGCATGTATGTCTCAAAGCAAAGAAAAACTATGGAAGAATTAACCTACAGTAAACATAGTGGTAGTTAACCAGGGAAATATAGGGAAGAAAAGGAAGATAGTTGATTTTATTTTAAATACTTCTATTATTATTTAAAATGTTAAAAGGAGAACTTTATAACTCAAATAACTGAAGAATACTGATATTTAAAAAATAATAGAGACTGGTAAAGTTTGACCAATAGCATCAGCAGAACACATACATAAGATTCATGACTGTAATTACTATACTGTAATTTAAACTACAATGCCAGACACAAATGAGTATTTGTTCATGGAAATTTCATGGGGATTGTTACCATAATGACAAGTTAAACTTAGACAGCAAGAAAATGGTATTAATGCCACCATCAAAGTGAGCTTATTCACAAAATTCCTGAAATTCATTATTCTCTATATATGTAGGAGAGCAGTTTCCATTGAAGCCAAAATTGCTGAGCTTTTATAATTATAATAAACATTTATGCACTCAGTTCTAAAAATTCAATGGTAAAGCAAAGCTTTGCAGGGCTTCCTAGAAATAAAAATGTGTTAGACTAAAATGACAGGAATTAACCTTTATATTCCTTAAACTGAACTTTGACGTTGAAAGCAGTTCTGTGCATATATCCTCTGTTAACAGAGCTTCTCTTCTGTTTTATTCAAGGATGATCCCAGTGTCCTAGGTGTCCCCTCCTGGAAGAAAGAGGTGGACCATGCATTCCCAGCAGCTTCCAGTTTTCTTTATAAAGCAGGCAGGTCCACATGGCTTTGGAGTTGGTGATCTGAGGTCAGATCTGTGTTTAGATGCTGGCCTGTCACATTCTGTGTGACTTGAGTTGTAACCTGTCTACTTTTCATCTTTAGTAATAGTATCTATGTTTTAGAGGACTGTGAGTGGAGTAAACAAGATAAGGGAATTATCTCAGTAACAATTCATTTACATAGGAAATGTTCAATTAATGGGAGCTACTGCTGTTACTCGGAAAGCCAGAAAAACCTGACAGAAGCAAGTGGGCCAGGTTTGCTGCTAGCATATCTGCAGCCTCTCCTCGCTCTATTCTCACAGGTAATCTCTCTCTTCCAAACCCCAGTGCTCCTAGCTTTATCACCACTCTCTTTCTTTCTCCTGTATAAACAAGAAAGCATCTGATATTTTTCTTTCTACTCAGTGAGAACCTTTGTTCTCAGGCTGCCTGAAAATTTGCATTCTGACCAATAAAAGACTTTATCCCAGACAAAGTTGGAGTCAGACAGGTCTGGGTTTCAATCCTGGATCTGGGACTCCATGTGTCACCTCAGGCAAGTCCTTCACCTCCCTGAGCTCCAGCTGTAAGAAGGGATAATAATACCTACTTCATAGTGGCCCTGCAAAATAAGTATAAGCATGACATTACTCATAGCGGTAATGATGATACAGGTTTCTGAAGGCTACCACCAAGGACAGGCTTGCTTTAGTCATCTGAGATTAGATGGACATGTAACTAGTAAAGTGGGGATAGTTGGGCACCTCAGCCAAATTCTTCTCACTTGGTTTGTTCAACTTTAAACTCTCTCTTTATCCCTTGCCCTTTCGTTCATTCAGCAAATACTCATTTGTGTCTGGCATTGTAGTTTAAATTAGAGTACAGTGATAAACAAAGCATGCCTGTTGGAAACTGGTATCCATTCTTGCCCGTTCTGCATCTAGGCCACCATCACTAGCTTGTATCTCTCCTCTCTCATTCTCCTATCCAGAAAGTTCCTTAGTCTGCTGGCCGTTTCAGGCCCCTCTAGCACTCGAAAGTAATGGTGGGTATGTGGGAGAGGACAGAGAGAAATCAGATAGAGAAGAAATCTATGGGATGGGAGTATATGGATAAGACGTAGAGGACTTTGACCCTGTAACATGGTAAAGAGATCACAGCCACCAAGCAGTGAGACCCAGAACCTTATCTTCAGAAGTACAACTTCCTGCGTGCATTACTGCTTCCCAGCCATTCCCAAATACTCTGCACCCCAGCAATAATAGTGTTGTAGAAAATGCCTGCCTCACCTTTTTAAAGGACACTCTCACAATTGCCTTTATTTAAGAACATTTACTTGAGAAATAAGACTACTGAATCCTACTCCAGAACCTGCAATGCAGTCACTGTGTGATCTTGGGCAAACCTTGGTCCCAGTTTGTTCTGTCAATTTTATTTAAAATTATGCCTGTTATGCTTTTAACATAAAACAACCAATTCTTTGAAACTCCTCTTTCTAGGAAATGCAGCTCATTCTCTTCCCCCTGAACATAGGATGGACATAATGACTCAGTTCTAATACAAGGAAACAATCAGTTTACAATGGAGAAACCTGAAAAACATTATCTTAACTAAGTAACCAAGATCAGCATCACCAGTAATAAATTATGTGGATAGCATGTGCTCCCTGATAGGATGCAACAAGAACACACCTCTGTGTTTCTTCCCAAAATCTATAATCTCAGTCTATTCCTAAGAAAACAACAACAACAACAACAACAACAACCAGAGACATTCTACAAAATACCTGACCCTCTTCAACAGCATTCAGGTCATGAAAGACAAGGGAAGAGTAGAAAACTGTCAGAGAGGAAACTAAGAAGACATGACAACTGAATGCAATGTGGGATCCTGGAACAGGAAAAGGTCAGTAATACCAAAACTGAGGAAATCTGTAGTTCAGTTAAGGGATCTGTACCAGGGATAACTTCATAGTTTTGACAACTCTACAATGGTTACGTAAGATGCTAATGTTAACATTAGAGAAAAGTTAGATGGACCAAGGTTACCTTTGAGGAGATGGAAGGTGGAGAATAGATGGGAGAGACAAAGCCAATTAGGCCTGAACCAAACAGACCTGGATAGTCCCACCCTGAATGAGGGACCAATGGTTACTCTGAGTTCTAAGTATGAATCCCTCTGACAAAGCATGGGTACCATTCTTATAAAACCTTGATAATTAAAGGTAAGACATTTTGAATAGTTTGATTTAAAAAATTCTAAGTTACAGAATGCAAAATTGTGTGATCTTTCTTATAAATAAACAATATTTTTGAAGTAAGATTATTTTTTAATATAGTTTATTGATTATGCTATTACAGTTGTCCCATTTTCCCCCTTCACTCCCCTCCACCTTGCACACCCCCTCCCACCCACATTCCCCCACCTTAGTTCATGTCCATGGATTGTACATATAAGTTCTTTGGCTTCTACATTTCCTATACTATTCTTACCCTCCCCCTGTCTACTTTCTACCTACCATCTATGCTACTTATTCTCCATACCTTTTCCCCCTCTCTGCCCCTCCCACTCCTCTGTTGATAACCTTCCATGTGATCTCCATAAAGTAAGATTATTATGAGCTCTCAGCTTGTGAAAAAAGGAGAAATGTAATGATGGCATCCAATTGTTACAAGAACTGTCTGCTTTATGGGTAAAATGCTTCTAAACCTAAAGTTAATATAGAAACACAGCACTGATATTGCTGTGACAGAGTATAAGAAAATAAATAATGGACAAGCAAAAAGAAAAAGAGGTATAAGAATACCAACAGATTTTTTAAACTAAAACATGAAGTTAATCAAAAATTGTAGGGTTAATTTTGAAAGCTAGTTTCACTAAAAACATATGATGCCTGTTATATCTACAGTGAATTTTCTAGGTAAGGTTTTTGCCCTTATTTTTATATAGCATATAATATTAAGGACAGTTTGAAGAATAGTTGCCCTTTGCTTTCTTCTTAAGATAGGTCCTTTATCTCAGTGACTACCTTTAGAATCATCTCTTGGAGCACCAAGTAACAGGCCTTACCTGGAGGTGATTAAGCTGCTACCATTAAAAAGGTGTCCCACTACATGCCACAACCACTCTCCCACTGCAAGGAGAATCCAGGGGAGTGGAAATGTGCTCTCATGACAAGGAGTAGAACCTCCCCTGAGGTTCTCTGGGCCAAAACAATAAGAGTATACACTGAGTTTGCTCAGTGATCAAAGGCAACAAAACAAGAGAAGCTGGAGTGCCCAATATAATGGCAAGAGCTGTACAAAAAGATGAAGCAATAGCTTCTTGAGGAGATATAGATCTTATCCCTGTAATGGACTCCCCTGATGGATGCCTGCGCTACATCGGATGCTTCCAAGTCACTCTGTGATTTCCTCCTCCGCTGAAGAACTGAACATAGGGGACTGGGCTTGGAGGGTTCAGAGAGCACCAGTGTGCTTTATTTAGCTATAAAACAGACAAACAGAACTCCTTTTTGAGTGGAGAAATCTGGTTCTGCTTTTGGATGCTACCTGTCTGACTCTGAATTTTGAACTTCCAAGATGTCAATTGTCAGATGGCTTTCATATGGACTTAATGATACTCACTCAGATGGGCCAACAAATGGAAAAGATGACCTTTTAAAGCAATATGTTTATATTGATTCATTCAATCTAATAAATATTTATTGAGCCATGAACAAAAAGTCTGGGTTTAATGAGATCTTTTGTTGGATGTGAACAGCTAAGATTTATAAAAGATTGGTTTCAAATCTTTTTGGCTAGGAAAAGGTCTGACCAAAGGCAATTCAAACTTTATAAAAATTAATCCCTTGATTGATACTTTCCCCTTAAAAATAAAAACAAGAAACAAACAAAAACCCTAAAACAAAGACATAAAACAGAAGTCACATTGCTTGCTGTACCCACCCAGAGCTACAGATTTTAATGGACAGAAACCTTTTGTGAATTCTACTTATATCTAATAGTATTGTTCATCATTTGCATTAAAAAGAAAATAGAAACACAACTCAAGATGTCCAGTGGAAGAAGATCAATGGAACATCAAAAGTCATCCCCATCAGATTCAGAGGTGCCACAGGTATACCACTGAACCTCTTGAATAATTCCAAGGTTATAATGCCATTTAAACTGTAGATCTCACTTTAAAACCTGGAAATTATGAAGTCTTATGGAAACCATGGGAAAGTTTCTCTTTCTGTCGTAAGTGGAAAAAATTTCTTCTTCAAACACCAGCAGGAAATAGTAGTATAATCATATCTCCTTACCAACATATTCAATCCCAAGAAGTGATTCCATTTTGAGGTTTCTACTAATGTGGAGGTTATAGACACCTAATGCTAATTTCCTACATCTGGTAATTTATGTTAAACCTTCTTGTTTCTTTCTTTTTTTCCCAGTTTCATTGAAAAATAATTGGAATGGGAGTAAAAGGCAGAAAACTGCATTTGAACAATGATTAAAATTTTAAAAATCTCAAAAAAGGAAAATAATTGACATATATCATTATATAAGCTTAAGGCATACAGTATGATGATTTGATTAACATACATTGTGAAATGATGACCATAATAGGTTCAACTAGCATCCACCTCAAAATATGTAGTCAAAAAGGAAACCCCAGTGATCCTGTGGGATCTGTTCCCCTCCAAGAAGTAGAAAAAAATCAGTCAACAATGAAACAGGATTTCAAAAGTTACAAAGCCATCAAGTTAAGATGTTTCCACCATCAGGGTTACCTGCACGCTGACCACGATGACCAAAGATGTGGCCATGGTGACTGCAAAAGACTGGTAGTCGGCAATGTGCTGCCCATCGTCTCCAGCCGTGTTGTAAAAGGCCCCATAAGGAATGAAGAAAAGGGCGAATGATGTGTAGATTCCATGTGCCATGCAGATGAAAAATTTACGCTTATTAAAAAGCAGATTAAGCTGTCCAGGTTTGTAGAGCTGGGGATGGTCCATGCTGTTCTGGTCACTTACATCCTGCCAACAAAGTGTTAGTTACATCAGCAGAGGAGGCTTCAGGAGAAGTCAGAGAGGCCCTGAATTCCCTATCTCCAGAAATAGCCAGTGCATATCTAAGCAAGCCCTCATATGCACTAGTCATTATCTTGTTTTCATTCCTGCAATAACCCAGAAGATACTAAAATGATCCCTATTTTATAAAGGAGGAGCTTGAGTCTCCAAGAGGGATTCATGAGAGGTTACACAGCTCTTATAGCAAAACCAAAACTTGACTCACATCCAAATGTTTGCCTTCACATTGAAGTTCCTTTCCTGTACTCTCCTGCAGCTGCACTCCTGATTGCAGGATTCTAGTACATCACGTGCTGTCAATGGGTCTCAGGGTTAATTGCCAGGAAAGTGAGTGATAGTGACTAAGTGATGGCAGCAGAGAGCTGCAGAGTTGGAATTGTCCAATCAGAGTTCCCAGGTTGGGGGGCGGCGGGGGGGGGGGGTAGGTGAGTGAGCAGCAGGAGGGGATCAGGGAAAGGGAAAAATTGCATGTGGGATTCCAGGTGGGAAGGGAGCTGAGCCAAAAGAGTTGAGTGTTCTACCCAGTGAAGATGCCAATATTGTTCAAGACAAGGAATTCCAACAGAATGAAAAGCCATCATGTTTGGCTCCAACAGTGGTACTGGGAGAATATAAACAGTGTTTCTCAAACTTAACGTGCATGCAAATCACCTGGGGAGCAGGTTATGATTCAATAGGGCTGGGGTGGGACCTGAGACTCTGCATTTCCAACCAGGTCCAAAGCTGATGACTATACTCTGAGCACCAAAGCCAAATGCCAAAACCAAAAAGGATGGCAAGGACATCACAGGACCATGGGTGGAGGAGAGGCAGCTGAAGAGGAAGAAATACAGGCATGAATGAACTCTGGGGGCAGACCAAGTTCCCCTTCCTGCTTGTGGGATGGCCTGAGTCTTGCAAAGCGGGGTCCCATGGAAGACACTGACATATTCACTTCAGGAAGTCCTGTTTTGAGACGCTGTTGGGAGCTTATTTCCTCAGTTCAGTGACTGGTCGAGCTACATGCACAGGCTTTGAAACCAGACAATCCTGAGTTCAAATCCTGAGCTCTGCAGCTTAGCAGTTGTGTGGTCTTAGACCTTTTAATGAAACTATCTGAGGCTTAGTTTTCTCATTTCCAGAAATGCTGGCAACAGCACTACCTTCACGGGATCATTGTCACCATTCAATGGGTACACCTTCTGCAGAGTTCTTGCCATACCTTAAGTAATAAATAACAGGAGCCTCTATACATAGTAAATAAAATAAGGAGAGCAACACTAACAATGGTAGTAGCGTAGCAGGCTATGAGTTAAATGGCCTGGTGTTAGGCTGCATTTTATCACTTATTAGCTATATGGCTTTAGGGCAGTGACTGAAACCTCTGAGCCCCCACTTCCTCCTTAAAATAAGTGATCTGTAAATGATCACTGAGGCCCTTCCAGCAGGGCACTCCATGATCTGTGATCAGTGTGAGGGCCAAGGTTGACAAAACAGGGAAGGAAAGGAATGGACACTCAAGGGGATGGCAATAGGGGCCTTATTTATTTTTTTACTTTTCCAATTGCACAATCACCTTCTTTTCCCAGAAACTGATTTATTTTATTTTATTCCACATTCTGAGCAGATACAAAGTACCAAGGAAAGAAACATTTGTTAACATGGGCACTTGGGAATGAGTGTGTTTAAATCCTTTATACCTTGGGTTTTTAGAACCTCCTTGTATAGAATTCCATAAAATACACCATTCACAAACTGCCATTTTTACAAATGGAAAGTGAGACATGACTGACTACATAGCCACAGAATGAGAGAGTGGAGTGAGCTCATAATGTGAAGATTTATATTTTGCAATAGACGGCTTTAGGCCAGAGAATGAGGCCTAGCAAATGGGTCTAACAACAGCCTGGAGAAAATCTGGCCTCCTTAAAAATACTTCAAAAAATTTTTTTAATAATACACTCTAATCATGCCATGGCAAATCCTCTGGCTAGCCTTTCACTTCCCCATAGGCAGCCAGACTTCTCCCCTTTCCAGGAAATACCCTCCAAGGCTCTCAATGTGCCAAGAGGCCACCATTTCTCTCTATTCTCAAGCATGTGAGCTAAAAAAAAGGAGAAGAAGAAGACTGCAATGCACCTTGCTCTCTGTGGCTGGGGCACTGTGTCCCTCTGCCCCATTGGGAGGGTGCTCTGCTGGCCTGCAGTTCCTGTTCCGGGCTGTGCTGGCCAAGGGAGTCTCATCGCAGATGCCCGTTCTCTGCACTCCAACCCGGTTCCATGACTTTTTCTATCATGCCTGGTTCTCTACACTCTCAGGGGCTCATACAGCACTTGTAGGTGGTGAGCCACTAGGCACTAGTTCTGAGGCATATTAATAAGTAGTATAAGAAAAGTAGATAACTAAAAGTACAGTCACAGAAGTTGGGGAAATGCTGAACTAAAATAAAGTTAAAGAGACTATTTCCTGTAAGATGCTTCAGAGCTCTGAGATGTTGGGGTATGAATCTTTAAGGAAAGAGTAGCCAAACTTTGACCAGAGAAACTTTTTGGGGTGGTGGAGGGGTAGGGATAGGAAAGGGTTTTTGACCCATGTTATATCTATTAAAAAAACTCTACTCCTAAGACTTTTCCTATGACTTGTATCTTCTAATTAAAGAACAAACAGACAGTGACCAGAGGGTAGGGGGGAGGGAGATAACAGGGGAAAGAAGGGGAAGGGTCAAGTCAAGAACTTGTATAAAGGACCCATGGACAAAGACAATGGGGGGATTGAATGTGAGAGATGGGGAGTGGTTGGGGCAGGAGAGAATAATGGGGGAAATGGGAAAACTAATTGAACAACAATAAAAAAATTAAAAAGTTAGAAGCAACTAAAAGACATCAGAAGAACAAAATAACTTATAAATACAGAAATAAACACATACCTGGTCAAAAATCCCCATGGCTAACACAGGAAGTGACGTGTAGACAATGTTAAAGAGGGTAATGAACCACTGGTCATAGACAGTCTGAAAAGAAAGAACACTTTGGTGAGAAACATCATCCCCAGCAGTGAGAATGTTCGCTTGTGGGCTCTTATATGAAATATCTCAACTTCCTGAGGTGGGAGAGAGTTTAGTTTTGGAGACAGATGTGAATTCTCCTCCAGGCTCTGGCTCTAACCAGTTCCATTGCCTTAGTGGGACTCTAGCTCTCTCTAAACTTCTGTCCATTTCTTCATATTAAAATGAAGCCACACTCTCCCTGCAGAGCTGCAGTAGGGATGAGAGGAGGTGATCTAGAGAGTACCCTGGACACGTTTAAGACCCTGAACTCTTGTGGTAAATGGTTCTTTCATTATCTGGTTTTTCAATGGCTTATAATGAGTTCAGTGATCTAATCTAAGTGATATGCAAAGATCCACTAACATCTTCAGAGGGAGATGCAAAAATTAACCTGTCAGCTGTGCCCTGTGCTCCAGTGGAGAGTTCTTTCTTCAGAGTGGCTTAAAGTAAGGTGAACATGGAGCTAGCTGCTCAGGACACTGCATATAAACAAGTAAAATGATAAAAATATCCCCTCACATCTATATAGAGTACTTCCTTGCATAAGCCTCGCTGAAAGTCTGTAAGACCTATAAAACAGGCATTACTGTATATCACTATTTTGTTTGAGTACATAGAGATGTAGAAACAATCTCTCAGAGTTATAGAGCTTAATACAGGCAAGGACAAAAATTAAAACCCAGGTCTCCAGCTCCCAAACAATATATGTTCTACCACTTGTATCATTCATTCATTCAATATTTATTAAGAAATCACTATGTGCCAGGTACTGTTCCAAGCAATGGTAATTCAACCTGATCACTCAGATAAAAATTCCTCGTGAAATATGCAGTCTAATGGTGGAAAGGAAAAAATATATATATGTGTTTTGTGAAAAAATATATGAAAATATATGAAATATATTTCACAAATATATGAAAAAACATATATATAGAATATATATATCAGTGAGTGAGAAAAATGGTAATAAATACAAGGGAGAAAGGGGGAATAGGAAATGTGGGAGGGATGTAGTTGTAAAAAGGTGACTAGAGAGGGTCTAACTTAGAAGTGACATTTGAGAAAATGTAGTAGCAATATTAGAGAGTCCCAGGGCAGAGCAGAAGTCTTAACAGGGTTCCAGATGCCAACTCCTGTCTCCCCAAAGAGTCTACCAGAACAGCAGAGCTTGGTCTCTCATTTTCTTCTGATGAGCAAATGCATTCAACAACTCCACTTAGACATATGAGCTCAGAGTGTCTGCTTTCATGCATCAGGAGACGTGTGAGAAATGTGTATTGCAGCATTGGTCATCATAGCTCCAAACTGGAAACAACCAAGACATCCCCCAGGTGTGGAATGGAGAAAGGCACTGTGATACTATATTGACATAATGGAATACTACAGACTCATGAAAAGGAAGGAATTATAGCTACATCCAAAAACAAGAATGAATAAAAAATATAAGTAATACTGAGCAAAAGAATCCAGACAAAAAAGTGTAATTCCATTTCAATAAAGTTCAAAAATGTGCCAGTCCTTTCTAGTTTGTCGAGAGATTCATACTCAGTAAAATTAAAAGACAGAGCAACACCGTGATTATAAAATGTCAGGGTGATGGTTACCTGTAGAGAGCTGTGACTCAGAGAAGATGAGGGGAGCCTCTGGGAGTTTGGCAACACTCTGCTCCTTGAACTGGATGGGTGTTTGTTTTACAATTTGTTAAAAAAGCTGACATTTATGCATTAAGTACTTTTGTAGATTCATTATATTTTACAATTGAAAAAAGAAAACACATGACCTTTTTTAGTCATAGCCTGGCAAAACTTTGGCCATACCGCAGGTCAATTAAATCCGTATCTTTGGGGTAGTTTAAAATTTTTGCCAGGTAACTCACTGTGGAGCCAAGATTGATTATTTTGCTCACTTTCACCCAAAAAGAAAAGGCAGTAGCTGACACAAATCCTCCATTACTTGATGATGGCATGATGGCATCTGACTTCCATTCCTCAGACATGGCAATTTATTTCATGATTGCAGTTTGGAAAATACAAAGGGGGGAAAGCAGCCAAATTGAAATTTTGGAGTCCCAGGTAGGATCTAGTGCTGGTTAAATCACTTACTCTTCCTCTACCTCATCTACTACCAAACTTCCACACACACAGAGATGTTTTCTGGTATGAAGAAGAAAGAAAAAAAAATCTGGTAAATTATGGCGTGATAAACTGTAAGTAGTTGATGGTCTAGCATAAAATGCCACTACCACCACACACTGGCTAGCACTAAAACCTACAATAGTTTCACAGCAGCATTTGTAAGCTGGCACTCAGACTTAAAGCCTCATTTCACAACTGGAGCAGGAGAGGACAAGGAGGGAAAATCCAGGAGAATAAAGCTTAAGTGAGTTTTGCAATTTCTTGGAAGAGTTTTTACTGCCACTTAGGATCACAACAAGAAACAGAAAATTAGCTGATATTTACTGAGCACCTGCTATGTACCAGGTCTGGTTCCAGGGTTCTATATATATCGACTCATGAGACCTCACAACCCTGTGAGGTCAGTTCTTCTAACAGCCCCAAATTACTTGTGGGAAAACTGACCCCTGTCAAGGCTGGGAGATTTTCCAATGTCATACATTGAACATAAAGATTTTCAAAGTATGATCTAAAGAACTTCTAGAGGATCCACAATGTCAAAACTACTTTCACAAAGATACTAAGATGTCCATTTCTTCGTTCTTTTCTCTCTCATTCTCACAGGAATGAGTATCACTTGTGATAATACAAGCAACTGACTGCAGAAGCAAATATGAGAATCCATGCCAGGAACCAAGTCAGAAATCTGATATTTTTCTCCCTTTCTCCATTACCCCATATCAAATTAATCCCCAAATCCCACTGATTTAACCACACCAGATGGCCAGTGTTCCTGCCCAAGCCACTCCTCACTTCTGCGACATTCCTCCCCTCTTCAGTTGTCCCCTCTGCTGGGATGTCCATCTTCTTACTCCTCACCTCTTCCACTATGATGGATCTTCGAGGGGTCAGCCCACGGAAAGTTCTTCCAGGAAGCCCTTCTGAGCCCCAGCCTCCTGGATTGGGTCCCCGCAACTCCTCAGCAGCCCCCCAACACCCCACACCCTCACCTCGCTGCTTCATAATTGTCAGTTTATAATTATTTATGTGCCAGTTCCCAGCACCACTTCCACTAGACTGAAAGCTCCTTAGTAGCAGGTTATATGACGTATACTTCTGTGAACATAACTCAGTGCCTAGATTATGGTAATTATTCAAGAAAAGGAAGCTAGTGTCTTAAAATAAAGGCATAGGAGTCAGAAGATGGAACTGGGTACCCTTTGTAAGACAATCTCTGTGAGTCTTAGGTTACTTGACTATAAAATGGGGATTCATGGGAGGTGGTAAGTATTCCATGAAATGACTAAGTGCCAGCACAGTAGTGCCTGACAAACAGTGCTCAATAAGTGAGCACCTTGACTATGGAAGGAAGGAATAACAGACAGAGGGATTCAAGCCTCAAATGGTATGTTTAGTGGGTAAATGAAAAGATATATGTTTTTTAAAATTATACTTTTTATGAGAACACAATTCTTTACTGCTATAACTAACCACACATATGTATTTCTATAATAAACTACTATATTAATGAAATCAGTAGAAAATTGGAACAAGATTTAAAGAAAACAGACTACCTTAATATCATTAAGCACTCTCCTTATGAATTCTTAATTATATAGATCACTGTTTACTCTAACTGTAGTTTTGTCTCAGGCTCAACCAAAATGTGTTCATCTGAGTGATTCACCTTTAAAAATAAAAAACAACAAAACCTTTTCCAGCTTTGTGCATCGGCTTAGCACAGTTGAGGTTTAGGGGCTTCCACAAAAATTAAAATCACAAGCAGTATTTCTTCTACAACAGGCTTACTCCTCCTCTTGCAGGAAATCTCCACCTACACAAACTGCTATCCTAGTATGCTCCACTTCTCCCGAAGGTCCTTAGATATCCTCAGAAAAATTTTAAGACGCCCCTCTGGTGACTAGGACCCGCTGAGAGGGGCGTCCTAGCCCAGATTGTGACCCATGTGGACCCCATCCCTGTTTCTCCCCTTCCAGGTATTCTCAAGCCCTCTACTAGCTCCACTACCCACCTACCCCCAAGCACCAAGCACATGCACACATGCATGCACATGTATGCATGCACTCACACATGTGAGTTGACCAGATGTCCTAATGATTCATTCCTCTGGAGCCTCTGGTGTATGAAGCATTTTGGCCTGAGACTAGACCATTCTAATGGTGCTGACACTCTGATATTGGGTAACTCAAACCGTTTATATAAATGAGGGTGTCCATTTATATAACATTTGTTGTTATATAAAAATATTTAAATATGTATATATTTTAAAATTTTCCCTGGGGCTTCTGTACTCCTAGGGCCAGTCATACCACCTTGACTTCCAAATTGTCTGTTCGCCATCTCTAATACTCTGAAGAAGAGAAAAGCCATGCTCCTGTGAGATGTCACTGGTCTGTTTGAAGCCATATAAGTGTCTTCCCACAGAGCAGAAAAAAAAGGAGAGGAGAGTTTCCATTTTTCCAAGTTCACTATTTTCCTATTTAAGGAAAGCTCCTCCTGGCTCCTTTCATTGTGGGAGCAATTTATCAACCTTATCAGCCATTTTATAGAGTAAAAATACTCCAACTACAAATTACACTCTAAAAGCTTGGGAAACACAAAATCTATGATTTATAGAATCCCACATTTAAATAAACTTTACTAAGGCTCTTAAACAGTTACAAAGGGCTCTTCACTCAGAGACCATTGGCTTAGCTCCTTTTTCAAAGAGCAGGATGAGCTGACTCTTTGAAGACATGTATCCCCGTGTTGCTGTGTGTTGCAGGAGAAAACTGTATAATAATATTTTTCCTTTTTGGCCTTAAAAAACATTTGTCATTTAAAGAAAAA